CATTTGATCTTTATATATATATATATATATATATATATATATGAAACTTGCCGTTTGGTTTAAATTTTCTGTATGATATAAAATTCATTTGGAAATATTGTTATATATGAGCGACTTTAAAATTGATTATAACAATGCTTAGACCATCCACATCCCTGCAATTCATTTACACTTTCAATTGTGTCACATCAGCTTTTGCAATTATCTTCCACATACCTGCAATTCACCTACAACGCTTTCAACTGTGCCACGTCACCTACACTTTCAAAAGTGGTCCCCACTACAACATTTATTAAATATTTTATATATTATTAATATATACATTCTAATTATTTTTTAAGTAATAACATATTTTATTTTAATTCAATGTTAATTAAAACGATTAATATATGATATAATATGATATAATTTTATATATTAGATTATAATTTTATGTAATTATAAAATTTAATGTTTAAAATAATTTAATTTTTTATATAATTAATGTAATTAAAAATATATTAACATTATTAATTTATAAAATTAATTGTTTTGTATAAAAATAGTTTATTTAAATAATTAAAAGAAAAAAATAAAATTGGAGAGAAGTGAGTGGGCCATGTGGCTTGCAAATTGACTTGCAAATTTTGCAAGTGAAATCCTATGTGACACAAAATTGCATTTTTGCAATTGCTTTTGCAATCCATTTGCAAGCCCCATTTGGGTGCTCTTATAAAATTTGTAGTCTTGGTTCTGTTTTTGACAGGCTGTTTTTTTAAACATTATTTATTTTCCAATAATATTATTTATACACCGTCATTTGCATCAACCGACTTCAAATATTATACTCCAAAATACGACTTATCATTTTTCTATTATTATTATATTACAATATATTTTTAAATCAAGAAATTAACAAAGTAGTTTAGATTAATATATACTTTATTATTATTTTTAATTCAATAATAAATACGAAAATAGTTGACATATTACAATAATTATTGGTATAAAAAATAAATAAAGATAGAGTTTGACTTTAGTTATTAGTACATCTATATCTATACTATCTTATAAAGGATTTGGCTAAAACTCTTAAAAACTCTTAAAACTTTTAAAACTCTTAAAAATTCTTAAACACGTTCATCCTTATCCGATTTCATCCCATATCTGAATTCGTGTAACTAACTACAGATAAACACAATCAAATACATGATAAACATTTCATTTTAAATATAAAAAATCCAAAATATAATTAGTATAATCATTAAATTATAACAGAATACTTAATTATTATCTTTATAAAATTTATAATATTAAACCAAAAATAAATTGTTTTAT